TGCCGCGTGCGAAGTCGTCGTCTGATGTGCGGTATATCGCACTCATGACAATGTAGTTAAAATATTTTGCACGTGGGTCCATTTTAATCGACAATCGGAAATATTTCGTCAGGTAAGCCAGATGGAGAAAAATGTTTCAGATAAAAGTTGTATGGTTTTGAGGGGGACATAAGGTGGTATAATTGGTTCGACGTAGGATAATCATTTGAAGGTCATGCAAAAGTGACCTTAAATTTTTTAAATGAAACCCTATACTTTTTATTGCATATTCTGGTAGCTTATCTCGAGAGCTTTTCAAAACACTATAATGAAGTATGTTTTCGTTGTGTATTTTTTGAGTTATGAACTTCGAAGCTTGTAGGACGCGGGGACATCGCACTCAGGAGCGCGCGCGCATACTCGATAGTGAATACGAATATTTAGATTCATGAAACAATAAGAACACATAAATAATACTACTTTTAGCGTTACCCAGGAACAACGACGTGGACGTAGTAGTTTTTTGTTCCCTTTGGGGTGCTTTATTAACGTGAGTCCCCTTGCCTCTCACGTATCGGGGTGTTCTATTAATTATCATCGAAGTTAACCGCGGAGCAACTGTTCAAAATTATCACCATTTGCTTGCAAACACAAGTTGATCCGCTTTTCGAACTGTTGTACCGTTTTTAATAGAACATCTCTCGATATAGCTGCACAAGCTCTCCGAATGCGTTGCATCATATCTTCTCTAGTCCTTGGCTGTTGTTCGTACACGATATTTTTAAGATATCCCCATAAAAAAAAGTCTGGCGATGTTAGATCGGGTGAACGGGCAGGCCATGCAATAGGAGCACGACGTCCAATCCATCTACCAGGGTATTGTGCGTCTAGAAACAACCGCACATCTCTTGCGTAATGCGGTGCTGCACCATCAAGTTGGAACCACATTCTCTGCCTAGTTTGAAAGTCAACATCTTCTAATAAACCAGGTAAATTATCTCTGATCAAGCGTAAGTAACTTTGGCCTGTTACATTTTCTTCAAAAAAGTAGGGACCGACCAAATGACCATTTACGATTCCACACCAAACCATAAGGCTCCAACGATGTTGATTGTCCATAGGTCTGTACCAGTGAGGATTGACGTCAGACCAGTAATGGCAATTATGTTTGTTCAATTCTCCGTTGTTTTTTAATGTTGCTTCATCAGAAAAAAGAACATATCTGAAAAAATGAGGATCTTGCTCAATCATTCGTAAGGCCCATCGACAAAAACGAAGCCGCACTCTCAAATCATTCGGTGTTAACGCTTGCGTAAGTGTAATATGATAAGCGTGATACCGCCTTGCCTTTAAAATTCTCAATACCGTTGTTCGAGGTACACCCGTTTGTACTGATATTTGGCGGCTGCTTGTCATGATTACGATGAAAATGACGGGCGGGTTCTTACAGTACTTGCTATTATAAATTTAAATCCTCACATCAGCAGCCGCCAAATATCAGTAAAATAATTATGTATTTATTTGTTATTTTCCTAGTAAATTTCTTATATGTATAAGAAATTTACGGAAGTTTTCCTAGTAAATTTCTTATATGTATAAGAAATTTACTAGGAAAATAACAAATAAATACATAATTATTTTTATTATACAATGTTTCTAGTCTCATAATGTCACAAACTGTGAGAAGCAGAAAATTGGTGAGCCAACTTTCAAGGAAATATTTTCGCTACCGTATGAGGAAACTACAAAATTGTCAGTATCCTATAGAAAGAGTTAAGAGAGTCAGATTCCAAAAAGACAATGATGAAAATGATAGAAGCAATGAAACTTGTGAAAATTATGAAAACAGCAATAATGCACTTCATAATATGGAAATCATAGACAATGCTAGTAAAAACGATGAACTTAATAGTGATAACAGTAATATAACAATTGTATTGCGCGCCTCTTCCTCAAGATCAGTATGTAGTGCCTCCACTATGCACCGATGTCGCCACAATCTTTTCAGTATAAGTTTTTCTTTCCGGTCCGTGTGTAAGGTGTTCCGGAATTCATTCTTCTTCTTTGTGCCGATCACGTCACACGTTCTGGTTAGAAAGCACAAAATGGGAAAGAGAAGACACAGACATCGCTCATCGGACGATGAGAGCCGAAAGGAGTTACAGAAGCGAGTAAAATGGCTGGAAGAACAGATTCTACAGCAGGAAAATGAAAATAGGCGCAGTAAGTATACAAGGTTATGGCTAGGAAGGATCGACCAAGCCTAGTCCATATTTTTTGGACGGCCATAACGATACGCATATCGTAGAAACAAGGAAAAGGGGATGGTTTTGTTGGTCCAACCAATAAACGATAAAAGTTACGCATTATCGTTGTCCAACATCGGATGATGCGTAACCCCGCAATCGATCTCGTACGTAACTCATCTCGCAGCCGTCCAACGGTTGCGAGAGACAAACGCCATACTCAATAACGTACGTGGCTCATCTCGCGATCGTCCAACGATTGCGAGAAACAAATGCAGAATAAAACAATGCAATGAGCTATAAATGCGTGCCATCGACGTCCAACATCGGATGGTGCATAACCCCGTACTCAATCCTGTACGGGGCTAACCTCGCGTCCGTCCAACGGTCGCGGGAACCAAACACCGTATTCAGTCCCGTACAGGGCTAACCTCGCAATCGTCCAACGATAGCGAGAGACGAACGGAATAATGCAATGGCCCACGCTGTGGTACAACCGACGCGAAACAAAAAAAAAAGCCTTTTTAGTTTCGCTTTATTTGATCCTTTCCTTTTTACCATAACAGGTTACAGACGACACAGCTCGAGAGGATCATCGTCACCGAACAGATCGCGTAGTCGATCCCGCAGGAGAGACTACTACGATTGGGACCGTTATAAGGGATCTCATACATATCAGTACGGCGATAATCACGATCGGGAAGATCGAGATAAAGATAT